TATGGCTAAAGAGGGGGAGAAGATTTTGTGTTAATTACTTGGTAGACATTATTTTTTTCTGCAGACATATTATTTCTGCTGCTCTATATTCTCTGATTGTTTAGGGGTTTTAGCCAAAAATTTACCAAAGGGGGAGTTTGTAAGTGTTTAGTTATTGGCATGTATTTTTGGTAAAACCAGGTGTGTGAATGTCATGACTGAAGTCATAACATTCTGGATTATTAGGTACTTTATGCAGAAAAAGAATGGCATACAGTAGCTGCTATTTATGAGTGTGTATCTGAGCTTTTTGCAATGATCACATTTATCACTTTCTACCAAAATCAGTAAACAGATTTATGTTGTCATAACCAATGTTAAGACATCTTGTACTGATCTAATAGTTATGCAGTTTGGTTAATTATGAGATTTTTCAGGATTTTGGTTCATACCTTCCAGAACAGAATCTCACGTGGACTTTAGGTTAACCTAGCTCAACCCTAATCTGGTTGATAAAGTCTTGTGACCAAGTCTTGAGGTTAACCATAATTAACCATAGCTTTTCGTGGAAGCCCTAACTGAAGAAACAGCTGCATATATATTCAACAGGAAAGCTGATTGGAAATTAACTCTTAGACAGAAGAACAACTTGGGGCAGTATAGTTTTAACTACTGTAATCCAAGCAAGTATCATTGTGATAAGTGACTTGGAATAGGTTTTGATTGTAAGGATTGTGTATCACTCAAAGCTTTGAAACAAGAGTGTTTGTGTCTCTTGACTAAAGCTTTGAAGCAAGGTCAAGTTAGGTTTATGTATCACTCAAAGCTTTGAAGCGCGAGTGTTTGTGTTACTTGATTAAAAGCTGTGAAACATAATCAAGTGTATGTTCTGAAGAGTGTCTTCATTATTTCATTAGTCAATTGTTTAGTATCACTGCTGTGATTGAGGGGGAGTGAGTAGGAACTCAGGTTTAAGTTAAACTTAGATTGAAGTTGCATTGGGTAGGTCTTAAGTGAAGGAGATAAACTGGTTGGTTTATTCCTGAATTAATATCTCTTATAGTGGATTTCCTCCCTGGCTTGGTAGCCCCTAGAGTAGGTGTTGTTTCACACTGAACTGGGTAAACAATTGACTGTGTTCTTTACTGTTTTTCTATTTACTGTCTTATAGAAAGTCAGATACGGTGTCATAACATTCACTGTGACATTGAGTATTTGCTGCCAGAATTTCAAAACCAAACCCACCAATTCGATTATATTAGTTAATAATAATACAAGAATCTTCGCGATACGATACTCGAGCCATTGTCACTAAACTACAGTTTTAAAAAATACTCGTTTTTTATCTATGCGCGATAGCAGATCAACAACCCTGCCATAAAAGATGTTGGCATGCCATCGATTGGATTTGTTGTCGGGATTGAAAATCATGGCGCATATCTTCTAGACACGTTACCTCATGTAGGCCTTGGGGTCACAAGTTGACCTTGACTGGCTACAGATGTTACAATTGGTATATTTTGTGTATTTAAGGGTATGGCTTTCGAATTTGTTGTTGAAGGTATAGCCATTGTTCCTTGGTTCAAAGGTATGACTTTGATTGTACTGGAAACAATCGTGCCTCCCCCTGTCGAAAGGGGAACTTGTTCTGAATTGTTATTGGGTGGGTTAACCATTCTCCTATTATATTTCCTTTTTGGTATGGGTTCATTTGTATTGGCTAATTTTCCACTCCTCAATCTCATGCAACAATGTTAACAAATAAGTTATCAAAATAATAGATAAAAATGAAAGAAATTCTAACAAGAACTAGACATTGGTCCCACTATGTGTTCTAATTTGTTTACCGTGAAATTTAGTAAACAACCATTGGTCTTTCAAATCAAAGAAAAGATTGGTGACTTGCAGGATCGACCAGACATGTGTCTAGTTCAATTTCTTATCTTTCTGTTTATCAATCTCTTCGATCGAGATTGTTACTTCAAATGTAGTAATGTAACGCTTTAAAGAAAAGACTGGCATGTAAAAGATTTTTGGTTTGAACTTAAAAGGAATGTATAAAATTTCAATTGAAAATGAATGGCAATAAACATAAAACTGGTGCATCCTACGTACATTCTCACAACTCGTTTCACGAATACTGATACTTTGAATAATTTAGAATAATTTGTACAAAGATATGAACACACGAATCCTATTGCTAAAATTCATATTTATACTAATTTGACCCTAATGGTCAACTACTGAAACAATGCCGCGTTCTTTGCTGCATGATCTTCGAATCTCTTCAGGCCTCCACAGGTCTCTTTAAATAAGATCAAACTTTCAAATTTGAAAACTCTTTTGTCTTCGAAGCGCCAAACAGTATAGACGTGACGGTCGAAGTGTCTATTATGACAATACTTCGAATAAATGAAGTTTCAACGGTTCACAAACGAACCTTTCGCTAATACTTAGCGAAATGAAATTCTTACTAGCCTTTTATTTATCTAAATCTTCATAAGATCTCTTTCATGCTTCCTTTCGAACTAAATTTCTTTCAGGATGTATCATTTCAGTTCAGCATTCACATAGTCGAAATTCTCAATTAATAGCAACACTGACACTTCTAATCAAAAGTGTGTCCAATGTCCAACACTGACAACACACTAGACATTTCTAATCAAAATTGCATCTAGTATCCAACGGCGACAACACAATGGTTCATGTGATTACACTCAATAAACTCATTTTGTCAATTTAGTCTTCTAGAGCTTCATAAATCCTAATCAATAATCCTTCTCTCCCAAACTAACTGATCAGTTTCAAAGAATAATAATAATAATAACTTTTCCAAAATTACTCACCTTATTCAATTTCAATAAAACATTAATTTGAATTCCACGAATATTTGAACTCAAAGCTCCAAGAACAATACCTCCAGCAAAGAAACATAGATTAGAAAATTTGAACTCAAAGCTCCAAATGAATTCAATGATTATATGATTGTTACCTGCAATACATGCTATTGAGTCTAATCTAACAACTCTTAAATATGTACAGTTGTCTCCCAGAAGTAAGTTCTTGAATCATTCAACACTTTCTGCCAATTAAATCCAAAACAAATTTTGCTAAATCGAAACTATTCATCAAAGATTTACATAGCAACAACAATTATAACCAATTTCTTCAATGTCATATCCACCTAATAATAATCATAACAATTAACTCAGCATACCTTTGTTGGACTTCATGCTAGAGTTCGTCGATATTGCGCTGTCTATGTCATAAACAACAAAAAAGAGATTCAACAACGAAAAAATAACCCTCAACAATAACTCAAAGTTCAAAACCTTAACATATCAAATACAATAGAATAAGTTAATAACAAAACCTAAATTAAAAAATTCATATAGAAACCTCTTCGAGTCCGACCAGCAAGACACTCTTCGTCGGAAACCCATTTCCACAACCACCACACTCATCGCCAGAAACTCGTTTCCACCACCATCAGACTCATCGCTGGAAGCCTGTTACTCGGTCTCCGATACAAATGATAATAAATTTTGATAGACCACAAGTGCATTCTTACCTTAACATAATTAAAATGTTCTTTCCTATTTTCGCACTTCTTTTAATTCACTCCTCATGCTTTCTTCTTTTCATCTATTTCAAATAAACATAAAAATAAAACAATTTAATTTATAAGAAGAGCTTCAGATCTCAACCAACGTGATGAGACAGATACTAAAAAATTAAGAAAAATATATTTGAATTTTCCTTTGCTCTTCATCATGATGCAAGTAAATCAATTTACTTACATTCACTCATTCTAACAGAAAATTGGATTTTAAGGTTTGTTTGAGAAAATTGGGTTTCAACACCAACATAGATTGAAATAACCAAATCATTGACTTACCCGCATATTAAAGAATTTCAGAGCCTATTCTTTTCTTATATTATATATTTATTTTATTAGCGGAATTTGAAACATAAGCTCATTGACTTTACATCATATTAATATAATTATAATATGTGTGTTTTGGCCTTAAATATATTTATAAACATAAATGCTAATTTTTCATACGGTAATAGCTAGGTTACTATTTTTTTGAGCTATGATTACTGTGTACTTGGAAAATTTGTTTAAATTTTATAGATGTTTTTTTTAAGAGTTATGGTATGATCCATGTTATAGAGAAAACTATAAAAAAAAATTATTAAGATAGATTTCGATATTAACAGTTTAAATAAAAACATAATTTTAAAATTATAACAAAAATTAATTATGTAGTCGACTCCGCTTAACAGATAAAAAGTTTGATCCTGATTGATGTATTTATACTATAAATTTTATGTCAATGAATATTTAAGAAAATTATTTTCTAAAGCATCTAAGAAACCTTTAAATGTAAGGTTTTCTTTAAGCAACCAATGAATCAAAGAAAGAATATATCCTCATTTAGGACCACATCAGCATTGCCAATCAATGTTTCCATAATCACCACACAACAGCAGCATTAATCCTCAATTTCCATGTCTTGGTTTAATACTTTGTCAGTAAACCTGCCACCACTCTATGCACCTTAAGACATGTCCTGGCCTTAATGAACCCAAAGCTGCAACTCATCTAAACAAGGTTCTATAATAAATTTAAAAAAAGAACAGGGATGAGAAAACCGTTTCAATGTAAGTTTGATATCTCACAATCCATAACTAGAGGTACTCCATTACTGTTCTACACAATGTACCTTTACAAAACATGTCACTCCAGACAAATACGATGCATGAGGTTGCCGGTAAAAAATAGCTAAATATACTAACTATCAAGATTTTCTTTCTTTCATTTTCGCTATAAATAAACTGATTATGAACTAAGAAACTCAATCCGACTGAGATGTGTGTGGCCTAGAGACTATCATAACCATAGTGATTATTGATTTCAATTTGACTATGCTGTAAATTTCGCTCCAAATGGTAAATACAAACAGCTATAAGATTAAAGGTGAATTGCCACAGTTGTCTTCTTTAATTAATTTCAGCTATTCATCGTAAACCCAAGATGTGAGACGTGGCCGACGACCTGCAAATCCTCCTGCAAATTTTGAGTCAAGTAATTCAAGTTGTCTTGTAACCCATGGTGGATTATGTTTACTCAGCCAGAGAGCTTCCCCTGTATCCTTGTGTCTAAAATCAGGCGAATTTGGATTTAACTTGGTCTTTCTGTTATCCCACCATTCATTTGGACTGGCGAAAAACACTTGCCAGAGGTGAAGCTGATTCCCATCAGATAACTGGTTACCAGCTATTAAATTAAGATGAGAGCAATAAGCACATACACAGCATAAGCACAGGAAGAAAGCATGAAAAATTGAAAATAAGATTAAGATCTAACAATGTAATCATAAAAGTAATTGAGGCGGCAAGCATAGTCAATAAAATTAGTTGAAAATAACTAATGAGTAATGAATATATCTTAAGTAGTTCTTATAATTGTGATTAAACTTCATATGTATTCAAGCCATAAGATAAATATAAGTAAACTCAAATGCTCCCCAAACCAATGTTGTCAATTGGGCCACATTAGCAGGCCATCACAAAAATAGCGGAGCTAAGCTATCGACTACGAAGAACAGAATAATGGCAGAAGATCAACTGAAGGCTGTTTATGAAACCTTGGTTGACAACTCCATCTCCATCTTTAACAGTTCCACGGACATCTTCAAGAAGATCAATTTTGTCATCTATGTTCACAACTTCTCTGTCCATCAAGATCACTAGTCTCCACTTTAGTTACTTTATGCATCAGTTGGCAAAATCTGAACTAGTGTCCCATCTAAACATTCAAAACTATATGAATGACACTTGTTATGGGCCGTTCGCAAGGCCCAAAGCCGTCAAGCAGGAAAGTGCATGGAGCCTGTGATCCCTCATTCCTCGAAGAATATGCTATTCCGCCCTCCAGACGCGTCGATCACCGTCTGATTAGATTCATCGGCTACCCGTTCAACACGCCTCACCTTTCGCGGACGGTTAACCGCTCCTATTATATAAAGAGGAAAGTGTGTCATTTCAGGTATTCAAATTCATTCTCATTCTCATATTACTCCTTATTCTTTCACTGACTTGGGACTCATGACTTGGGACTCAGAGTGCTAACCTTGTAGGTCAGCCCCCTCTCCGTCACACCGGAAGCACAAATCCACTGCACCAAGGCATTACCTCATCATTCCACCGATTAGTTCTAGTTCTGAACCGAACAAACCTCATGTACAATATCTTTAATAACCACATTGGCCTTTTCATTAGCATTTTCACATCTATGGATGTTTAAAGGCACATTGTAGCAACTAAAAATGTAACAGAAATATTATCATCCAATTTGTGAACTTCTTCAACTAAACAACCATTGGATCTTTTCGGAGAAACATACAAGATTCACATACCTCATCTGATGCAACATTTACATCATTACTTGGTGTTTCCGGATGCAATTTCACATTTATATCATCACTCGGTGTTGTCGGATGCGAATTCACATTTACATCAATACGCTCTTTATCAACACCAGTTATCCTGTTTTCTTCCACACAAAAGGATCCAACAATATCTCTTCTTTCAGGTGAAAATTTCATTTTGCACTCTTGACTCAACAATTGTGAAGATGTAAACTTCACAGGAATATGGATTTCCAACAGTAATCCCTGAATAACCAACCACGTGATTAATATTAATATCACTAGACCCGGTTCCCGACCGAATATTTTATACCACAAGAATATACCTCATCTAGAAAATATTCAGCAATGACATTGATCTTCTTCCTCCAATTAATATCCTTCCCAACTATAACATTTGGATTTTCCATTTGAATATAAATACCACTGTTGGAGTCCAATTCTATAAATATCGCTGCATTCGTTGAAAGCACATCATCGACCAAACACGTTGCAGTGGACACCGCCACAACACTGCTTTGCAGTTGCCTACTATAGAGCAATGATTGACCACATAGATTGAAAAATGTTTCTTAGCTAAAATTTAATTTTAAACTGGGTATGAGAACAATGTCTCAAAATTACCAAACAACAACCAACAATCAAGTCTTATCTCATTAAGTGTGGTCGGCTGCATGGATCAACTTTCGTCATAATGTTGTATATAAGACCGTGCTTCTATCCAAATCGTTAATCTCAAGATCTTTCTTAATAAATTCTCTTGTAGTTTTTCTAGGTCTTCCTCTATCTCTAGTTGTTTGATTTCTCTCCATCTAATATATTCTCCTTACCACAGAATCTACAGGTCTTCTCTCAACGTGCCCAAACCACCTAAGTCTATTTTCCACCATCTTTTCTACTATAGGTGCTACCCAACACTCTCTCTAACATTGTCATTTCTAATCTTATCCTGCTAGTCTTACCACACAACGTATTAAAACTTCTGAGCACTACTAAAAGAGAAGAACCAATAACCATATTTAAAACAATCACACTAAGGTTTCAAATTTCCATTGAACATCATCAACCATACATACCTTCAAATTTATTTTCTTTCTCATGCTCTCCGTAGCCCGGACTCTGAGCAACAAACTCTAACTGATTCACACTTAGCTGCAAACAAACCAAACACCCAATTCATACACACATAATGAACAAGACAAAATGTAGAAGTCAAAGCTTAAAGATCAAACCTTATAACAAAAATGCGTCTCTCCAATGTAAGACCCCAAACAACCTGAAACACAAATAAAATGATTTGGTTTCACATGTTGATAAGCAAATTCAGCAATTTCATCCCACATCATAAGAAGCACCCTGTTAACAAAAATACACATCAAAATGAAGTTCTGAATTTCCAAAGCAAAAATTAAAAATAGAAAAGAACGAACCAAAAAGATGAGCTATTCGGTTTGTTAGAAGTTGGAACACGAATCGTAGTGTGAAACCCAACTCTACCGGTTTTACTGTTCACGCGCTTGAGTTCACGCGTGACGGAACCGATGAAGGTGGCGGTGTTTTTTAGGTTTGGCTTCCATTTGATAGTAGGGGGACGCTGGAATTTGAGAGCGTGATTGTAAACGGCGCAGGTCCCTGGTACGACGTCGTGGAAGAAGTGCGGTGGTTTAGTTGTGAAACATTTGTGTGATGAATGGGAGAATATGAATGGAGTTTGAATCGGTCTTAAGGAGAGGAAAAATGAACGGAGATTGAATGGTTTTAGTTTCATAGAAGATTCCGGTGAGGAATGTCAATGTTCATCGCCGGTGATGAATTTCATAGGGTTTTGAATTTTCTTTTTTTTCTTTTTAAGGGGATACTTAAACAGTTTTTGGGCACGAGACCCGGAGTTCACGTTTCTTTTCATTTACAAATTGAGATTTCTAGTGTCCAAATTCAAAAATTCAAAAAGGGGAAGACTTTGAAGACAAGCTTCCAACATTGTTATGTGTTTTGACGAATATAAAAAGAGATTTTATGTAGAAAATTACTTTTTAAAATTTGAAAATATTTTTCGAATATGCATTTTCGAACGCATTTATCAGTATGTTTTAGATGTGAATCTCCGAAGATATTATTTTTCTAATTTTTATAACATAAATGTTGGATTTGAAATTCTCGAGGTAGTTTCGGATATGCACATCTGAAATATTCTTGAGGTAACTTCGGAAGTGCATCTCCAAAACTTTCTATGTTTGTGTCATTTATGTTAACAACAACATAGTTACCCCTACCATATAAATAGATAAATTATTTCGAAAATATGAAATGAACATAACATTTCAGACATAACGATTATATTAGATGTTCAAATATATGGAAACATAATTTAGTACATAAGTTGTTCGGAAAGTGCGTAATATAAAAATATTACATCAATTACAAAAAAACAATACATAACATAGGATATTGTTACTGCATATGTCAGATCCTCACTCCCTGTGATCTCCTCTACCGAATGTACTACGTCGCACTACATGCCTCCCTAACTATCCTCCCAACTATGGTAACTGCCTCAGGACCGCACATCTCGATGATACCAGAGTTCAATGCCTCCTGTTCAAGTAGGGTATTCGCTGACAGACCGGCATGAGATCAGTGGCATGGTCATCCTTGGTCTGGTGGTTCTCTAAGATCTCCTCATGAGCTGGCCTAGGTGGTCATCCAGGACCATCCGATGTCATGATAGGGTGTGACACGTTAAAGAACCGTGTCACATAACCCTCTACATAATACCAACTCTCAGATATCAGCATCATCTGATACTCATGTGGCACCAAATAATTCACCCAATCCTGAAAGATGGCATCGAGATCTCGCTGGACAATGTTGTCGGGAGCATCCTGAAAAGCATATCTCGGTATCATCTGCACAAAGTTAAACTACCTGATACATCTCTCTGAAAGATACCTGACCATAAGATTTGACTCACATGCTAGCCACCCATAGTATAATGAGATGGGATCGAATGGGACAACATCTCTGTAATCCTCAAATAGTATCCATTTGATGTCATCATGATTAGTACGATCAAGATACACACGGTAAGACGACACCTTATGATTCCCTTTGTGGAGGACATACTTTACATCCTTCGGCATGTCGTCAGTATAACCCAGATCAGGCTCGAAACTATGAATGTGGTGGAAGTGAGAGATTATCAAACTCTGAAACAAAAAACCTAGTGTTGTACCCCAAATTTTGCCCTCTCATTTATCAAGACTTTTCTCACAAGATCTCTTTGACTCAAGACTAAATTAGGGTTTGGGATTGTACAAGGATTTTTGGACTATCAATGCTTCATGTTACTTTCAAGTATCATCATGGACCCCTAAGATTACTCATGTCAAGTTTCAATCCTTGAATCACATTTTTGATCAGTCAATTGGACAGTTGACCTAAAAATCAGCTGTATTGGAGAAAAAGTCAACCATGGTCAATTTACAGTCAAACTTCATAATTTTTTATCCACATCAACATTTTAGACTCATATGTATCATTTGATCAAGTTTGGACCATAATTCTTCAGGAAATTTGATCAAATCATCAAAAGGGCAAAATGGTCAAAATTAGGGTTTTTATTGAGAAAGGGCAATTTCTGATTTTTGACCTAGCAAATGACCAATTGGTTTGAAGCATGATTTCAAGGATTCAATTGTATCATCTTGACCTAATGACATGGTTCAAAACATTGCAAATCCATTGGATTGACAGATGAAATTTGCAGTCAACTGATCAAAAGTCAACTGTATACTGAAAAGTCAAACTTTGACTTTTTGGTCAAAATCAAATGCCAAGGATCACAATTCATCAAAACATGTCAAAATGTGAAACTTTTTCATCAAGAAATCAAAGATTGAAGATTTTGTTTGAAAATTGAAATTTTCTTAACTTAGAAATTTTTCTAAGTATAGAAAATTTCTTTTTTTTTTTCAACTTTAAGCCAAATTTCCATCATGATGCAAGATGATTCAAAGAAAGTTCCCAACATGAAAGTTGTAGATCTCCATGAAATCTACAACTTTGCTTCACACATGTTCTCCTAAAGATGCTTGGATCTCAAGATATAACTTTGTGAATACATGCTCATGAACTAAAATAACTTAGTGAAATTTTGCCCTAATTTAGGCAGGTTTTTGGCCTAACTTCATGGCAATTTTTCACCTAGTTCCAAGAGGAATATTGAAATTCATTTCAAAGATGAGTTATAGAGAACATTGCAAGATTTCCAAAATGTCCAAGAACTCCTTGAGATCATTTTTGAGTAGGGGGGATCGAAGAGAGGAAGTTGGCAATTTCTCACTTTGATTTCAAGTCATTTCATGAAGAACAAAATTCAAATCTGAACCTATGTTGCCTAATCCTTGCTTTACAGGTCTCAAACTTGTTTCTCACTTCATAATTTAATGCTTACATAGATGATAAATCCTTAATCCAAGCACAAGAGTCTTTGTCCAAGCTTTAATTCCATAAATGGCACAGAGTTGCCATTGCCATTTTAGAAAAGCATAACTTTTGCAACTTTTCACTTCTTGAGCATTGGACCTGTTTTCTCGACACACACAAGTCCTATAAACCAAAAGAAAATTGTCTAGGACTTGTACCAACTCCAAGCAGGCCTGTACAAGCATGTAGAGAGTGGTCTCTTCACTTTTCTTAAAAGGCAAGCAATAGAGCAAAAAGCCTATAACTCAAAAATTTGTTGAGGAGCTGACTTGAAACCTTCTCTATACTTATACACAAACACATTACAACTTAGGACACAATTGCAAAAGGCCATAAACTCTCTAAAACTCCCTATCACCAAAAACCTGTCATAACTTGCAGTTTGAGACCAAGCATAGCAATCCAGAAATCTACTCGTGCGTTTCAAGCTCTAATCACTCAAACACTTAACCTACCTCATATCTAAGTGTTCCAGACCATCACCCCTTCACTGTAGCTCCTCCTTCTCCATCTTCCATTTTTGCATTTCAAGCTTGCAGGTTGACTTAGATAGAGAGATTCGGGCACTTTCAAGGCAAGGCAAAGATTGGAACATACTCAGGGAGGTACAGGCAAGCTAAAGGGATCTTCAGGCCTTCATAAAACTCACTCAAACTCCATTCACGATCTCAGCTGAAAGAGGTAAGAACTCTAACTTCTATCTCTTCATACAGACATCTATTGGTCACGATTTGTGAAGATAAAATGTAGATATCCTTGAGCTAAAACCAACCATGTTCATAGATTTCATTTATATTCATTGTGTATAGAGAACTTTAGAGTTCAAATTTCTGTAAAAATTAGGTTTAAAATTAGGGCCTTTGAAATTATTTTTGATCATTGACTGTTAGTTTACATGATTTACATGGTTGAAATCGTGGGAAAAAGTACTATCATTTTCATGTTGGAAGTTTCCATTTTCATGGAGAAATGAGAAAGATACAGAGGTTCTGGCTAGCTTGAGGAAGAAGTTGAAGTACAGGGCAAAGAGGCATTATGTGTTATGTATTTTTTATTTCATATGAACTAACAGATGTACAGCCACTCCAGTGGCAAGGTAGCGCGCTGAAAATGCATAGGTCATGGATTCGAACCTTGGCGCTACCTTTTGCATTTTTTCATTTTTCAGCTTCATTTTTTGACATTTTTTGGCAGCGTGGGCTCAGCTTATGGGCCTCTCATTTTTTTTCTAAACACTTACCTCTCTTTTCCTTACAGCACCCCTGGCCCAATCTTTTTATTTTTTATTTTTTATTTTCATTTCCTTTTGCTAAATATATTTTCTTTAACATAAAAAATCATAAAAGATATAAAATATGATAAATATTGCATTTTAATTTATTTTATTTTATTTTCACATAAAAAATATTTTTTTATTATATATTAACTATTTTCTTAAATAAACTTTTAAAATAAAATAGACTTAGATATATTTTTATTCCTTTTTCTTCATACTTGTAAATATCTTTTCCTAACTTATAAAAAGACTAAATATTTTCATAAATATTATTTATTATTTTAAGACAAAAAATACACAAAAAAATAATACTTAAAAAACTTTATCTTCTTTTACAAATTAGAAATTAGGGTTAATCAACGTATAAAAATAATTTCCTTTTTAATTTATTAGGTTTAATTCAAAACTCTTCTTTATATGAAAAACAAAACAAATTTCTTTTCTTGCATATACATAAACATTGCATATTTATATTGTATACTATTCAAATATTCGTACAAGTTCGATTTGGTTGTAATAGTTTAAATTAGTTTTATATTATTGCAAATCCCCATTCATAATTTGTATTCCCCCCTCCCATAAAACATTGTAATAGCATAGTAATCTTTAAATTACGCAATTTATCGCTTTTATATACCATGCTAGTAATTAGGGGTTGTATGGCAAGATAAAAACAATCAATTAGAAAACCCTAATCAAAGATAAAATCAAGCATGAAAATAATACACTTGCACACAAGCACCCTTAGGGTTACTCCACTTGGTTGCCTTACATAAAAATGGCCATATTACGCATGCGAAGTATCTTGGCAAAACAAACAAGTATAAGATCATAGTCCCTCGATGACGCTATTCAAAGTTTCCTTATAAAAATGATATTAGTCCCTCAAAAATTCTAAGATACTTTGCAACATTGTTAATCATGGTTATACGATGACCCACGCCCGTCCCGTTTACATCCAAAGATAGGGTTGCTTACTAAATCAATGGTAAGGCAACAATATCAAA